AGGACAAAGCAAGAAAAAAAAGAGGAGAAGCACGTCGATCCTTGGGCGCTTCGATGTATGCAAATGCCGCTCGTTACATTTGCATTTGACCAGCCAATGAACTTACTCTGCTGGTGCTGCTGCTACTGCCGCTGCTGTTAAAGTAGATTTAGATAAATTCACTTTCACAATTGACACTATAAACAGATTGCGGTCCAAATTGCAGGCCACAGGAAGAGCTTTAGATGGGGTTTAGGCAAAAACTCAAAGCAGACGCCCTTCTGAATTGAAATTGTGCAGCCGGTGAATTCGAATTCGACTGGAGTATATTTTGCCCACTGAACGGGGCACAATCGCAATCACAACCAGATTTGGATATAATTACTAGCCACATGCCTTGCATAATTATCAATTTACATTTGATTGCATTTGTTTATTTGCACAAATAATTACTTTCAAGCTAAAATAATTGCATCGACTGCCGGCAATGCAGTTGCTGTTTGTGGCTTATTTGCCTTTGTCCGGGTAGCTAAGTTAATTGTTAATTAGCGGCTATGCCAGAGATTTCACTAGCAGGTGCTGATGCTCAAAAACACTCCTAGTTAGGCTCGTGCAGGCAGGTCCTTTGCCCATTTATCAGCGAGGGATTTGCAGGACGAACACTCATTACGAAGCACTTTCTCCTAACTGCACACGCACCATAAAACCCAGTTACGTATGCAGCAATTTTCGAGGCACCACCCCCCTAAAACGCCCACTAAAAGTCATGAAAGATTTATGGCAATGTCAGGGGGTCTGGTGGAAATTTAATCAAACGCCGAACAACCCTTTCGTGGGATTCAGAAATCAAATTTTGAAATTTGCAAACTGCTTCTGAGCGAAAACTTTCAGACCAACCCGGAAAAATTAAGGGAAGGAGTACAGAGCCGTAATGGAAATGGTCGAAAATTGCGGGGATCGCATTCCACAGCTAGGAATGCGGACCACTCACTCCAGAAACATGTCCTTCAAATACAATACTTACAGTCTACATGTTAACAGCCGCGGTGAGAATATTATCATACAGAATTTAAGAATTTTGTTGACTTATTTTAAAATACATATATTTATCTAAAAGTTTCTACATTTTTTAATTTTCGTAAATTTTTTATAATACTTGCTTATGTATTAACTAATGCAGTTAATTTAAAATATTTAATAACAACAAATATTATTATAGTTTTTCAAGACTAAACGCTTATTATACAATCAAGAGTTTATGATTCTTTAACCCGTTTTAAAACCGTGAATTTCCACACGATTTTCCGGTTTAAATTATTATTTTCCAATTGAGATAATCAAAAAGTAATCAAACCAATATATTATCGACTAGTTATATTATTTTAACCTTAGCTGTGTATAACTTCACCGAGTGAAACAAATTCTATGCAGAATGTGTGTGCGTGTGCATTCGGGTAAATTTCATCTTGGAGCAGCAACATAAAAACGTCGAAAACATGGCAAACATTAACGGAAAAACAATTTTCATAAATCTAGAATTATTACCCGGGAACCGAGCACAAAACAACAAAAAACAAGGAGCTCCGGGAGAAAGCGGAAGTACGCTGTGTGTCCATTGAGGCAACAAATTTGGCAAAAAAATAAAATTCCATCCAGCATATGGATGATGGAGGTTTGCGAATACCCTGCCTTCGAATTGGAGAAACCCTTGTGCTGGGAAAAATGACCCCAAGAAGAACCCCAGCGAAAAGTTTCTTGGCAAACATATTTGCAAACGCATTTAACATACGATAGCACGAATATTATTTCATATTTTCCGCCTATTTGGGAGGGTTGTTTTTTTTTCTACGATGCGATAAGGAGGGCAGAATGGGAGTGCTTATGTAATTGCGAAGCGTTTGGCAAACAAGCCGCCGCCATAAATCACATAATTCACGCTTCATGGACAAGAGTCCTTTTACATTGTCTTTTTTCGTACTTTCGCTCTGCGTTCTAATTCGATTTTTGCAATCGCTTTGAAGTCCACTCAAATTTCAATAATTCTCCTTTTTCATCGACATGCAAACGCAAACAAATTATAGTAAGTGGAGTGAATTGAAGTGGGAGAGGGCAAAAAATAAAAGTGGGAAGAAAGAAAAGCGAGTTGAAGACATCAACTGTCGCTGTGAAATCTGTTATTAAGCCATTTATAGTTAAGGCAAACAAAGCGAGCGACACTTGAATGCTCGAGTGCTTATAGACACACTTTTCAATGGCTTATCAAAATCTTAAGCTGACGACAATGGCAGCCCGGCGACAAAGGAAAACCCTCGCACACATGCGAGACAATTTATAAAATTAAAAGTCTTGGGAGGCAGGCAAGTGAAAGAAATGCAATGCGGCAACAAAGGGGGAATAAAACTCGCCGAAAGAAAGACAACTCCTCGACCGATTTCCCGGCTTTTCCGCTTAGTCGATTGGAAAGCCGTTACTGTGCAGCAGTTCGATAAAAATGAGTGGGTGAAAGTGAATGTGAAAGTTCCCCTCTCACTGCATTTGGCATATGCCGCATATATTAGTTTGCAAAATGCCTGCCAATCATGAAAGGGAAGTCTGTGTGTGTCAAGTGGTCATGACAAATCCGCCAAATACCAAAAACGGTTTCGAAATTTGCATACGCAAAGCTTAACGGATTTTGCACAGAAAAAAATCAACTTATTAATATATATATCAATTGATAAACTCTTTGAAAATGAATAGATAAATCTATCTTATGTACATATTGGGAAAAGCGATTTCGTTGGGCGTGAGATTGAAGTTTTGGGATAGATCAAAATATTCCTTGTCATAGTTTAGTGATTTTTAAAATATTTTTTTGGAATTGTACTAAGCGTTCGCACTAAAATTCAATTGCGATCTAAAATTCTTCTACAAATTCGATATGAAGCAATGCAATCTTAATCCAAAATTAAGGTAAATTTTTATCTGTGTAAGTGTAAAGCATCGCGCAATGTAGTAGATTAATTTTGCGCGCATTTAAGTAGGTAATGCCACCGTTCTATCTACCTTTTTCCACTTTCCACCTTTCACCATTTTCATTCTCAGTTTGTGACACATGACAAATCGCAAACGCAAGCAGTTTACAATTGATGTTAAATCAAAGCAATAAACACGCGGCAGATGTGTGTGGATGCCTTATTTGTCACCCACACTCAAAGAGCAGAAACGTGACAATTTCTGTCATTCCGCCTGGGGGCGTATCCGTTTCCGTTTGACTTTCACTGCACTGCGACTGCGGTGCGGCTGTTTTTTGTTTAACTTAATTTTCGGCAGCCCCCAAATGCTCGACTGACTTTGGCGCCACCTTTGTTTATGCTCTGATTGTTGTTTATGTGAGCGAGGCCACACACACAATATGCAAATGCCAGGATACCAGAATGCCACGATGCCAGGACACCCGAATGCCGTGTGCCGTATGCCAGAATGCCAGGCCAACGAAACGGACAAAAGGATTGAGCTTCGGGTTGACAGCCGTTTGACAAAAGGGAAGCCTAAACTTTTGGCCCGGCTTAAGTGCCACGGCGAGCATTATTCACCTGGTTGGCCACGTTCCCTTTCACCCGTCACCTGGGAATTTCCATGGGCCTACGTGAGCAAAGTGGAGCAGCACGGACTTTTCCCCAGCAAGTGTCAGCCTTTAATCAAGTGTCAAACACCATGTCTAAATTAACATTCGGGACGTGGACTTGAAATCAATCCGTTTGTCAATCAGGCGTTACAAAAATCACGCTTGTGAAACGATATTGTTATAAACAAATTAAAAAACACCCAAATATTCGATTCTTTGAAAATGTTTTTAAAGCCTACAAAAACAAGAAAAAAAGCAAAACGATTTATATCTGATTTTCCAGGATTTCTCAATCAATTTTTCGGTCGTTTCTATGACAGCTATTTGATGTCGTCCGATTTTTATATAAGTAAAACCTTGAGTAGTTGGAGTAAAAACGGACAGACGGAAATGGGTAAATCGAATACAAATTAGTTTGAAATATAATCTAATAAAATCTATTAAACCTTGTTTAAATTCAATAATAATCACTTTTGTCGACAAACTGCGTTTTTAGCAAGTTCAATTTTGTTTAATCAATAGCTGAACCAACAATACCGCATTAATTTTGGTACCATAATATTTATTAACGCCATACAAATTTATTTATTAAAACCAGTTAGAATTTAGTTAAGCAAGTAACACAAAGGATATCCTATAGTATGAAAATTGAACTTTTTGTGAATAAAACTCAAAACGAAATTGTTATATTTTTAACAAAACCATCATTGTAGTATTGTTTGTAATAGTTTGGTGTATTTTGACATATAAAAAGCAACAATACTGAATAATTGCATTTAGTTATCAAGATGCCTTTTATAAATTATCATGAATGGATTTTACATTAGCCTCGGATAAATAAGTGTAGGAATGCTTTCAAATTTTTTATGATAATATTTTAAATTCAGGAGGAATTTTTGTGTTATAATATTATATTATACCTCACACATCATAGCCAAGGAGCCAGCTATTAGCCAAATGCAGAACTTGAAGACCCATTGAAAGTTTTGCAAGCCAACGAGAGCCCTCAAAAACGAAACTCACAGACGAGAGTCCTCAACAGTCGCACCACGGCCAAGAATAAGAAGTTGGGGCCAACTTTTTCTGATATTCCGAGCACCTCAGTACAATGGCAGGCTGACCGCCCATAAATGCATAGAAATCCAGTGCAGAAATTAGACGAAATCCACAAATCGAAGCAAAGTTTTTCCCCTTCACCGATCCGCCCGGTTTATTGTTCGCAAATTTCCCTGGGGCCTTATAAAGTCCAAGCACCATGCACCATCGCCACCAGAATTTCCGAAGTGCAAACATTTGCGCTGCTGATTACTTTTAATGCTTCCCTTCGAGTGTGTGTGTGTGGTCCAGGGGGAGGGCGGAAAATCAGCAAGAGGCTTGGCAACATCAATCAGTTTGATTTTGGCTGCAAAAAAAAAATAAAAAGAAAATTGACCCAAATTCTGAGCAAACCTTAATCGTTTTCATCACACCACTAGCTAAATTCAGAGTTCCATCATACGTGGTTATCTTCTATTTATGGTTGTTTGAAATAGCCAAACATGACTCGCTTCTTGCCACTGATTTTCCTCTGGGCTCGCTCTACTTCAGGAATTTTCTCGCACTTTTTGAGTGAGAAAAATAAGGAAAATTGGACAAGCCGGGAAGGTGTTGGCCCATGGCCTCTAGTTTTGCATGCCTTCTCTGATAATGAAATTAAAAAATACAAAACTTTTGCAAATAAGAAACAATCTCATCATCGGGCTTCGTTCCGCGATTACACCATTAGGCAGTATGAAAACCGACTGAGATTGTACGCGCATCCGTTAAAGATTTTCCGGTATTTCGCCACTATTAAAATGAAGAACAAGTCTGGTAAATACGAGTTGTATATGACTCCATCCGATTTCCTGCGATCAATTCAGCCCGGAGCGAAGCAACCAGAGAAATTGGGCTTGGATAAGTTCCAAATTCTCGATGAGAAGGCGGCAAGTAAATGGCAACCGTCCGTCAGGGAAGATAGCATCTTCCTAAAATTCGAGAAACGGGGCCTGCTAACCTACAGTGACTATGTGCTCCTGACCATCCTACTTACCATTCCGGAGCGAAGTATTCGAATTGGTTTCAAGCTTTTCGATCTAAATGGCGACGGCAATGTGAGCATCGAGGAGCTGGAGCATGTCCTCATGGTAATCACACAGGGTGAAGCCTCCATGAGGAGTTCGCATCTGAAAAGCCATCTCTTCGGGCCGCGACTCAATAAAATGCTGAGTATAAATGATTTTCTGGAGTTCCTAAACGAACTCCACACAGAGATCCATAAGCAGCAGTTCCAGAACTTGCTGAAGGAATCCAGGTAAACTAGTTTTTGAAGGTAGAAATTAATAATTGCCAATTTATGATTCTCAGATCTGTGATATCCGAAGTGGACTTTGCCAAGGTGGTACTGGGCTTTACAAGTTCACGCAGTCAGCGACGTGAAACACTACAAAGGGTGAAGAAAAAGTATAGTCAAATGAATCGCGGCATTAGCCAAGAAGAGTTTTTGGCATTTTTTCGTTTTGTGCAGGATGTGAATACTATGGATAATGCGCTCGCCTTTTTCTATTTTACCGGGGCGGATATCTCGCGAAAAACGCTGCGGCACATCTCGCATGTGGTATCCGGCGTGAAACTGTCCGAACATCTCACAGATGTGATTTTCTCTATATTCGATCATGATTCCGACAATATTATTCAGCGAAAGGAATTTAACGATATGAGGCGCCAATGGATGCACCCTGTTCCCGTGAGAAGAAATCTAAGGCTCTCATCCGCTATACGCATTGTCTGCAAGTGCACCTGGAAAACGCTGCCATCGTGGAAATCCCCTGAATTCTTAAACTTCTGGTGATGTCCTTTGGGGTAGCTGCTTTTAGTTCACTGACAATTTCACACAAAAGAAAATTTAATTAAAATGTAATATACATTTGGTAACTTGTTATATATAATATTATTGTTTAAATATTATTTTCTCCAATCTAAAATGGTATTTAAAACTTTTCTTGATTTTTAATACAACTTTTATTGATTTTTATCAGGAAACATTTAAAACCGGCTTGAGGAAAGGTGACTCAGCAATATTTTTAATTCATTTTCTCTCAATGTTGAGATAAAAACCGTCAACTGACTTAGTGGAGGGGCACAAAGGAAGCTCGGCTCAGAAAAGCGCAGTCTGTTTGCTCTTGTCTTGAAACGTTTCAACTTCACAAGCCGCCAAGTTGAACGAGTTGAAAAATGAAGCGAGTCCACAGGAGGATGAAATCCATTTTGTTGTCCCGACACTCGAGTTGCGTGCGAGCGATGGGAAAATTCAAATACTCGTGCAAAGCAGATTCTGCTCCCACGACCCCAACCCTACTAACATGACTTTGAACTTTTATCACCTGCTGCCAAACGCTGCCAGTCACCCAAAAGGGGGGGAGTGGTGGGTGAGTGGGTGAGTGGGGGCGTAACCCAGCACTTACCAAAACAATTTTAAATACTTGCGGTAGCACGCACTCGAGGGTCGGGGCATTTGGAGTTCCTAGAGCGCCGAGACAATAGTTTGCCACATACACTTTATCTGGACATTGGCAGGCAGCCACAAGTTGATGGCCTTTGGACAATTAAGGACCCCAGGCATTCGAGATATTTGTATAATTTACTCCCCCGAAATGTGTGTCGACATTATTAAATGAAACGAATCCGTTGTCACTTCTAACTAGAAAAGGATTCAGTAAATAATAACTATTATTCTCTCCCATAAGGGCCTTTTAATGGCAAGTCATATAGAAAAAGAAAAACCAATTTATTTCTGTTGAAATACTTTATTGAAGCAGCTTTGTAGTGAAAGTGTATTTTTTTTACTTTAAATATACTCATTAGAATATGAGATTTTAATCTACAGCTTTACCATACATTTTTTTGTTAATTATTCAATGTTGGAATTTAATCTCCTACTTAGAAGCTGATAACCTTAAAAATTTTACATTTACAAAAATTAAAAAACAGAATGCGTTCATAAAATGTTTGCTTAATTGCAGACCATCAGTAAAGAATAAACTACCCGGTTCCCTACTTTTGACTATCATGCTTGCACGCGGAAAGGAGTGAAACTTTTATCAATTTACAAGCTGCGGTAGTCTATGGACTCTATAGTTTAGACTCTATAAACATGTCGAGGTTACCGCCTGGCAACTTTCACATAGCACTTTACAAAAATCAAGCTCATGTGTGTTTACACGTGTGCTACCAAACCTTAACAGTTGTCTGTTCGCAAAACTTTGAAACTCGACGCGTCAAGGAAGTGCGATAAAAATAAACATGGAAGTTGAGGGGCCGCAAAGTTAGTTTGCCACGCCCCCAAAGTGCAACCGCAAGGACAGCAGAAATTATTAGAAAGAAATGCCACAAATTTAAGTTGCAGACCAGAAATCAATTAAATTGGAAAACATACGAACCGGTCTGTTGGTAAGCCATAAATCAGAAATTATTATTTCAATCTCGAACGCTGTGGATCCACTCACAATGTGGCGTGTAATCAAGAAATCAGCATCAACTGTCAATGGGATTTCCTTTTGAATAAGTCATGGAAAATTCCCAGTTTCAAATAAATATTGACCAAAGTTGATATTATTGTTCTGGCAAAATGCAAAAAGGCATTTATAACATTTTAAATTTTGAGCCCAAATTACTTTGCTCATGTGCTCGACCACAATTTTTGCTGACTGACCTGAAACAAAAATGGTTTTGTCTCTTCTCGTTATTCAGTTGGCCAAAATGTGCTTGAAATGCTCGGTGGAAGCAATAACGTTTGACTCTGCCTATTTGCCTGTTTCCTCCTTTTTCTCTTCTCAGAGACAAGCTCCATATAAATTCATACCACTTTTGGATCCTTTGTTGGCCCCCCTTTTATGTGTGAGTTATTCAAATTTATAAATTATGCAATTTTATGGTTTTAAGGCGTAGAATCTGCAAAAATATTATTTTGCACACGTTTATGGTCGAGCATGGAAACACACAAATTCCAGGACGACCTGTGCGCTTGTGCCTCCCACACTTTTGCCTTCGAGCACCTCCACTTTAGCATAATTTGCATGAATTTAGGTTGCGTTGAGTCTTGGTCAGCGACACTTATCTGAATTATGAATATGCAGGTGCTTATCGGCCGGAATTTATATATATTCAGGTGGGTGGAAGCAGGATTTGAGCAGCTGCAAATTGTAATTATCATCAAAGATTCGCAAAGCACTAAATCTCGCAGGTAAAAGTCAAATGTTGACAATAAATACACCTTTAAGGCGCTTTTAAATGAACTTCTGCCTCACACCTCAGTAGGGGGTATAATTAAGTTTCACGACTTTTGCTCGCTTTAAGCCCTTTTCCCGGCTCTGCTGGCATTGCTTTAACGTTTTGCACTTTTACTCGCATTGAAAAGTTGGCATTTAAAGGGATTAAAAACTTTTTCACATCATTTCCTGCCGATTAAAATGTTCTGAGAGCGACAACGACACACTGCGAGGTGGCTAAGCCTTAACTATTGCCATGGCATCCATCGGCGGAGTTGGGGACACAAAGGATTCACATGTCGCCGAGCAAAGTTTTGCATCAGTCGGCGCTTTAGTAAAGCTACATTTACTTACAAGTTGTAACTTACGACAAGTATTAGCACAAGTGCTCTTAAAGGGCCTGAGATTGCTCTTTGCTTTTTAAATTTAACTAAAAATGGGACAGTGTAGTTTGGTTTGCCAACAACAAAAAACCCATATTTGAAGGATCTCAAAATAGACTAAATAATACCCTACAATTTACATTATACCTTAAAGGACAACAATTACCTCTTTTATAGAAGCATAAGTAAAAACCCTAAACTTTGATTTAACCGTTGTCGACAGTTTAAGACAAATTTTGTATTTATCTAAACTTTATGTATAACTAGACAAGTCAAACTTATATTTTTAAATAGATCTTAAAAAAAAAATATTTATAAATCCAATAGGAAAATATAACCTTAAAGTTTTCCAATGAGGGGTACAAAAAAGCAAAGAGGACCAAAAATGTTCTGTGGCTTGTTTGATTACGTTTCATCAAACGTGCCTAAAATTCTAAAAGCACACATGTCAAACTAATAAAGTTTAAGCGAGAACGTTTTGATAACAAGGCCAACAACAAGAGCATTCACATAACAACAGGCAGTAAGTTGGGTCTTTATTTTGTATTTTTTTTTCTCCACCAGGCCAGACTTTCGCCTTCCCCCATCAATTTACATACACACTCCGCCAGACAGAGACGAGCGTTTGTACATTTTAAATGCTGCGACACGATGCCGGGTAAAAGTTATTTAAACTTTTTCTTTCCCAGCACACAGGCTTGTATGAAAATTATTTTTCTGGCTGTTCTGATGAGCTGCTCTCATAAACTACGTGTATGTTTGTTTGCTTGTTCGGCACAAACGAGCATCCAAGTAGCCAGCCATCCAGTTGGCATCAGCATAATGATGATGAATGGCCCCGGCTGACATATGAAGCGCATTAATACAGTCTGTGCCATCGGATTGGAGGAGGGAATGGAGTAGTTCCCGAGGTTTGCTCATAATATTCATACATACGAGCGTCCACATTGCCTTTGTAAACGAACTCTTGATGGTGTTTAAAGGATTATTAGATTCGCACAAAAAAAAATGGGGGTATAGACCTTGTTAAGATATTTTTTTAAGCTTTTGTTGCAATTAAAGTTATAACAGCATAATAATCAGTAAAGTGGTGTAGCTTACCAATAAATAAATAGTTCTTATACTAATTAACATTTATTTCAATATATTTATAACTAGTACGAAAACTAAGATTTTTTTTATACATTTTGGTTGATTTTTTATAGCTTTACTAATCTTTACTTAATGAAATCCTCACCGATTTAATTTAACAATTTATATGTGCAGATTTAATGGTTCGGATGATGTTACTCATAAATTAATAATTTTTAAACACAAGTTTGATTTATTTACATTAACCGATTTAACCCTCTTGAATTAATTAACTTTCCGATCAATAATTTTTCCGTTTGTCTGCATACATAATTAATTAAAACATATTCAACGTTAATTATTTAAGCACGTAAAGCTGATTACATAAGATAAACAAAGCGAAATCCGTTATAATTTATAATTACTCGACGCTTATTGACTTACTTATGCAAATGACTTTGTTTTTGCAGTTAATTATCTCATAAGTTCATAATTGTTTGCATTCGCGATTCACTTATAATACAACTCAATGAAATAGGCGAATGACGTGGCTGTGATAATTTATTTATTTTTCATATGCTCGCCGCTAAATTGAAATTTGTCCAGAAGCCTTAAACTGTTAATTTCAGCATCGCAATTACATATTGAATTTATTAAGCTGCATCAGTGTGATGTTCGGTTAAAACGGAATTGCGCAAATTACAATTAAATAAGAAGTCAATGGCCTGTAAAATGTTGTATTAATATTAATGAAACAACAATGGCTGAAATAGCTCTACTCGTAAATTATTTGCAGTATGTAGCTTATGCAATTTAAATTCTGATTACGGTCAGACCAATTTCGCAGCATTAAAGGTATTGGAAAAAAACAAATATACTTTTAATGAAAAAAGTAATTGTAATTACCTCACCCTCGGCAAGTGGTAAAATAATTTATTTACGTTTGCTATTTAAAAAAGATCATTTGCGCGCACTTTTCAAAACTATTCGCCGTCCTCGCAACATTTACTCCGAAAAAGGGCCAACTTCTCTAGCAACACGGCCAGCAACATGTTGCTAACAATTTGATTTCCCCTTCGCAATCCAGTCCAAAGGGCATATACCCACCCCTAAACGGGAAATACTACCCCTTACCCTGATTTAAATCAAAATTAACCACAATAAATGCATGCAAGCCGCAATCAAGGTAATATTGCATCAAATATGAATACGCAAACGCATTAATTTAACAACAAGCGAAATGCATTAGATTTAATATGGGTTCATTT